TACTTTATAATTTTGAAGCAATTTTTCTTTTCCTGGTCACTAATTGCAATCTTATCTTTATATCTGAAATTCTGTCCTCACATTGGCTCATTCTGTTGTGTAGACTTTCAATGAAGTTTTTAATCTTCTGGAAATCTGTTTGTATCTATTTTATGGATTCCGTTTGTTTTCTATATTGGAATTCCATCATGTTCCTTAGCTCCTCTGTTTTTTTGTCTGTGACCTCTCTAGATTTATTAATCATGTCTTGCATTATGGGCACAATCTCTGCTATTATCCAAGAAATTATTTCTGATTTCTTTTTTTCCAAGTCCTCTTTTGTTATAAGTTCAGGGAGTCCATGTGGTTGAGTATCAGAGTGTTCCATCTCATTTCCCTTTAGGGTTGCTGTAGGTGACCTGGAAGTTTTGTTTTGAGACTTGTTTACATATCTTCTCAATTTGATGGCGTGGGGGGGGAGTACTATAAGCGCCCGCAGGGCTCACTTCCTCTGTGCTGGGAGTGGTGAAATGGCGGCCTGGAAGCCCCTTCCTCTGCTCTGCGAGCAGTGGAACAGCAGCCCGGAAGCCCCTACCTTTCGGCTGGGAGTGGTGGAATGGCAGCCTCTGTGGAAGCCCCTTCCTCCTGACTGGGAGTGGTGGGTGGAACAGCAGCCCAGAAGCCCCTTCTTCTGGGTTGGGAGCGGTGGAACAGTGACCCAGGAGCCCCTTCGTCTGGGCTGGGAGCAGTGGAATGGTGGCCCGGAAGCCCCTTCCTCTGGGCTGGGCATGGTGGAAAGGTGTCCCGGACCCCCGTCCTCTGGGCTGTGAGTTGTGGAATGGTGGCCCAGAAGCCCTTACCTCTGGGCTGGGAGCGGTAGAAATGCAGCCCGGAATCCCCTTCCTCTGTGCTGGGAGTGGTGGAAAGGCAGCCTGGAAGCCCCTTCCTTTGAGTGCATGTATAATTTTCCTTTTCACTGGTAATAAGCACCTTTCACACTGTTAGATATTTTATGGATATCTATAGACAATGGTTATGTATTCATTTATGATTTCCTGTGATGTGTGGCTTTCTCCAGGCAAAGGGTGGAGGTTATGAAAGTGAAGATGCTTATCAAAATGCAGAGCTAGTTTTTCTGGATATCCATAATATTCATGTTATGAGAGAGTCATTACGAAAACTTAAGGAGATTGTGTATCCAAATATTGAAGAAACTCATTGGCTGTCTAACTTGGAATCTACACATTGGCTAGAGCATATTAAGGTAAGTAAAGTTCACTATTTTTTATACAAAGCTTTCTCTATTTCTTTGTGTGGGCTCTTATAATTGAAATTAGAATGAAGGCAGCTTCTCAAACGTGAAAAATTGCTAACTGTTTTGATACTTGGAACTACTAAATTTTGATGTTTGAATGACTTAGTTTCCTATGTTATGCATATACACGGTTCTATTCTACTTCTTACTTTCCCAGCCTGAGTTCTATTCATCCTTCAGATATCAGTTCATATTGTACTTCTTCCATAAAGCCTTCCCAGACTGAACCTATTTCTATTTTATCTGATCTCTTTACTTTCCTTTTTCTTTCCGTTTAATCAGTTAATACTGATCTTTGCTCATTTGCTTTTGTATGTCAGATGTCATATATTGCTAACTCATGAAGACCCACACTAGATAAAGCACACTTCTTTTTTGTCACTTCAGAAGCTAGGGAAGCCCTATCTGTATAATAGTCATTGCATGCTTTGTAAAGCTATCTTTCTGGTTAGAGGTAGAGTGGTTGAACAGAGGATACCATTTTGAGTGTTATTCGCTTGAAGAATACCAAGTGAACATTAATTTACTCAACATACTGATTTAATGTTTGAAGCACCAGACTTAGTTAATATAGTTACATATTTTCAAAAATGCCTTGAATTTAGTAATATGTTACCAAAATATAAATAACCATGTAAATTAATATTAGGAAATACAATTTTTCATGTTAAAAAATTAGGCTTATACTCTCATTAAAATCTCTGAAATTAAGAGAATTGGAATGCCAAACTGAACTAATTAGAAGTATAATTATGGAATATTTTCATTGTTGTTTTTCTTTAAGAAGCTTTATTGCCTTAATATAGACAACTATAAATACTACTTAAGAGGTCATGTTCATGTGGCCCATCTATTATAGTGTGCAAATATAAAGCCGTAAGACTTGACTTGAACCTAACATAAATTGCTGTTTGCTTCTGAAAAATCCCTTATCATTTCACTAGCAAGTACATTCTTTCAGAAAGGCTGGCTGTAACAGAAGCAAGTTTCCCTAGGGGTGTAAGACATACAGTATAGCTAGACTATTTTCTCCTCTGCCAGTCCTTACACCTACAAGTCTTACCATTTTCTTCAGATCTCTGCTCAGCTATCACCTTTCTCAGAGAAGCCTTTCCCAGCTGTTACTCCATGCAAATTGAAAGTTCTACCAGCACTCTGTATATCCTGCTGAGGTGCTTTTATACTAATTGACATCCATCTGATAATACTGTTTACTTTCTTGTTTATTTTTTTGTCTGGCTGGGTTCCCCCAAATAGAATGTAAGCTGATACTTCGTTCTCTTCACTGCTCTACCTCCATCCCCTTGAGCAATGCCTGGGCTCCACAAATGTATTAGAATGAATGAAGACTTATTCTGGATAACTTCCTGGTTATTCTTAACTAAGCTTTTGGGTTAGTGATTCTTAAGTATGCATTTGAATAATAGGTGAGACCTTTAGAATACTGACAGGATCATTAGAGAATGGGAACCAGGCACATTTTTTTTTAAATGCTCACAAATGGCTGATAGATACATAGTCAAGTTTGAGATTGCTTTAGCACACTCTATTTCCAGAATATACCCATAGTTACAATCAAAGGAGATTATCATGAGATTTCTAAGCCTACATAATCTTTCCATTCTGATCTGTTCTTTAAGAAGAATAAAACTATACAGTTATTGCAGAAAAGAATGGGGCTGTATTGTTCAGTTTTAAAGATATTTTAGTTTTGTGTTTATTATGATCACTGTTTAGTTTTCAGTCAACACTTCAGAAAAGGTAAATTATTTTGCAAAGGGTTTCTGTGTATATATCAAAGTAAAGGTCAGAATCATTTTAGGTAGCAGGTAAATTGATGACATCTGATGAGAACTTTTATGCATATTGTTAAAAAAGTAACTTACTTTAAAGTTCATACTGTGCTTGCTATGTGTTCTGTGACATAAAATCTTTAATAATTGCTATAGAATGTTTTACGAAATCCAATATTATTGCTTTCACATAATGATTCTAATTTAGTTAAACGTTGTTTTAAATAAGGCTTAAAGATAAGACTTTAGCTGGCACAGCAATTATTCTTATTTAAACAGATGATATTGGAATATTTGATGATTCTACAAATCTTTAGAACTTAATTCCTCTAAGAAAAATCTTACTTATATTGTTGTTTAGTGCCTGAGGCTTTCATTAGGGTACTGTACTTCACTATGCAAATTAATAGGAGTCTATGTTTATGAGATTTTCTAGTTTTAAATGCAAAATTTATATATTTTCTACCACTTAAAAAATTTTGTTTTTTCTCCCACGTTCAGAGGGTCATCCCTAGTAAAACTGTAGTAGTAATTTTTTCCTGCAATACTATGGATTGAACCCAGGAAGAAGTATTTAATATTTTAAAAACTTAATTTGGAAAAATCTGTTTTCCAGCTTATTCTTGCAGGGGCTCTTAGGATTGCTGACAAGGTAGAGTCAGGGAAGACTTCTGTGGTGGTACATTGCAGTGATGGTTGGGATCGTACAGCTCAGCTAACTTCCCTTGCTATGCTCATGTTAGATGGATACTATCGAACCATCCGAGGATTTGAAGTCCTTGTGGAAAAAGAGTGGCTAAGCTTTGGACATCGATTCCAACTAGTGAGTAAAGAACCTTAACTCCGATATACTGATCATTTATCTAGAAGGGTAATCTTGTGAGAACTTTTCTGTTTCTTTTGCAAAGTTTTAGAATATCATACTGTGACTGCAGCCTGGAGCCAGCCTAGGTTAGTGATTTTTAAGTCTGTATGTGTGTTTGAATGATAGACGAGACTTACTTATTTAAAGTAGTGATTTAGGGTATTTGGAGAATGGAACCTCAGATGACTCATGCATAGTCAGATTTGAGATGGTTTCATAGTACCCTGTGGGTTACTATTTGTGGATTTTTATTTACCAGGCATCTTACCCCCTTAGTCTTATCTTGATGTCTACCTAGAAGTAGCAGATATTCATTCAGTGATGTCCATGTGTTTCTCCTCCAAAAGAGCATTTAAAATTAATATAATCTAATATGGTTATGCAGTTACAGGCCCTTCTACCTCTTCTGTAGATGTATAAAGAGACAAAGGCTTAAATATTATTCTTGAAGTAGCTATAGAAAGTCGTATTGCTCACACAGAAGCAGGGTCTAAAAAAATCAAGCTGAAAATAAAAGAAATAATAGAATAAAAAAATGAAAATTTAACCGAGTTGGGAATAAAATACAGCTTCTCTGTTATGCTTATGGTACTAAAACTATGTGTAGTTTTATGGAAATGACAAAGCTTGGTTTTTTTTATAACAAAGTTTTGAGTCAACTATTCAGAAATTATTTTTATGTTACCAGATTTCAGAATTGGAAGGGGCTGAGAGTCCATGCATTCATAGTTACTTGGACTAGTCTGTCCACAAATCCAAAGTATGATGTAACAAAAAGGCAAAAGTATGCCTGTCAAATGATTGTTTAGTCTCATTAATGTCCCCAGAAGTAAGCAGCACATTCTTCCATGAGCCTTTCCAGTTTCACTCAGGAAAATTACTTGCTACAAATTTCTTCCTAATAGTGAAATGAAATTCACTTGCCATTGTTTACATTCCCTTTGGAGACATGAAGAACAAATTATTCCTTATCCCTTCAAATATTTGAAGGTAGCTATCTGCCCACATTACCCATATCAAGTTTTTGAGGTTGAACGTCCTTTTTGTTCAGACTCTCTTCTGCATCGCAGTTGTCCTGTGGACTTTGCTCATGGATTTCTGTAAGTGTGGTACTCAGGAGTAATTACAGTTCTTAAATAGAGGATCGAGATGCTGTTATGACTTGCCTTTGCTTTCTTGTTACTTCATACTTTGAGCTTGAAATTAAGTGTTCAAGTGGCTTTCAGCTGTGCTTCTGCTAAACACTACTTGGAATCAGGAAACTGGTGAACAGTAACTTTCTGGTCTTTGCTCTTCTCATGTGTTGCCTGTGTATGTTAGTTATAATAACAGTTTAGAGAAGCATTATTTTCCCAAGAAGGAGAAGCATGGCAAGCAGATAATATGGATGGGAATGAGCAATGACCATGGCAAGAATAGACTTGAAGGAGAGGTGGATTTAGATAATTCATGCAGGAGGGGATCCAGGCTGTCAGAGGACATGGTTTCTCTAGAACGTGGTTTCTAGGTAGTCGTTTCCCTAGATTAGTTGAAAGACTTTGTGAAAGGCCTTAAATGCTGCTCTAACATTAACGATTTTTGCCCCACAGCTGAGTATGTTAGCATTTATATAAACAGAAAGAATGTTTAGTCTGCTCTTTTGAACTTAAACTGTTAAATATAATTGACATTTTTACTATCTATTCAGATGGTTCACACTGTGGAGTCCTCTGTACAATATACTTATGAAAAGACCATTTAAAACTACTCTTCAAATAGTGATTTGTTCAAACTCATCAACACTTAGGGCTGTTGGAAGTTGGTATGGATTTCTCAACTCATAAATTCGGTACTATTTCTAGTTTTATTGTAAAAGCAGTATTTTGACAATTAAAGAACACCCAGTCAAGAGAATATTCTCATATGATTAATGTAGAGGTACTAATTCTCAAAAATTTTGGTTTTACACCTCCTTTACCCTGTTAACGATTATTGATGACCCAAAATAACTTTATCTGGGTTATATCAATATATGCCATATGACAATACAGTCCAATTTTCAAACATTTCAAAATATTTGAAAATAATTCTATTATATATTAATATTTATATCTGCTTCTTAGTCTGTTGTGGTGTGTTCTTTTGAAATATAAAAGGAAAATCTGTCCAGACACAGACATGTAAGTGGACAAGCATTTTTTTCATTAATTTTATTGGTACATTTTAGGCATACAATATGATGGCATTAATCATTAGGAATTTGTACCTTTACATAATATATCTTGGTTCTTATTTTTTCCCCATTTCTCTGCCCTCCCTTCAATCCCTTTATCCCTCCCTATTTACAAAGACTTTGTTTCCATTTTTTGCTTTTCTCATGCTTCTTTCTCTACTTTCCTTTCTCCTACCCCTCCCACTTCCCCTTCCCCTTTGCCCCCTTTCTTCCTGTTTCACATTATCTGTTCTATATTTTGATCCTTATTTACACTTTCAGTTTCTCAAACCAGGGAAACTATTTGCTATTTACACATCTGTGTACTATTTATTTCACTTAAGAGTATGGCCTCAATGTGCATCCATTTAGCTATAAATGTCTAGTTTCTCATTCTTTATGGCTGAATAGTACTCTGTTTTATAAAAAACCACATTTTCTTTATCCATTCTCCAGTCGATTGGTAATTGGGCTGTTTCCAAGTTTTAGCTATTACAGACCGTGCCCCTATGAACATGGGTGCACAAATATTGCTGTGGTCTGATTCTTTTAATTCTTTTGGAAAGATACCCAGCAGAGGAATAGCTGGTCAAGTGGGACCTCTAGTCCTAGTTCTTTGAGGTATCTGCCTACTGATTTCCACTGGGGTTGCACCAGTCTACATTCCTATCAACAGTGGAGAAGGGTTCCTTCTTCCCCATAGCCCTGCCAGCATTTGTTATTGGTTAATTTCTTGATAGCAGTCATTCTTTGTGGAGTGAGGTGAAATTTAGTGTTGTTTTCATTTGCATCTCTCAAATGACCAGTGAGGTTGAACATTTTTTTGTATGTTTATTTGCTATTTCTGCATCTGAGAAATGTCTGTTCATTTCAGATGCCCATTTTTCGATTGGGTCTTTAAATATGGGAGGTCTGTTTTTTTTCACGTTCTTTATATATTCTAGACAGTAGACCTTTGTCTGAGGAACAGCAGGTGAAAATTTTTTCTCACATTTTGTCATGTCTCTTCATGCTGTTGGTGGTTTTACTTTCTGTGCAGAAATGTTTTAATAAGATGAGATCCCACTTGTTGATTATTTGTGTTCACATGCGACTGAGGTTTTGTTCATGAAATCTTTTCCTACACCAATGTCTTCAAGAATTTTACCTAACCTCTCTTCCATCCAGTTTAGTGTTTCTGTTTTAATATTTAGATCTTTAATCCATTTTGATTTTAGATTAGTGCATGGTGAGAGATATAGGTCTTGTTTTAATCTTTGGCAAGTTGAAACCCAATTTTTCCAGCACCATTTCTTCAAGAAGCTATCTTTTCTCCAGTGAGGGTGTTTGGCTCCTTTGACGAAGATGAGGTGGCTGAGTGTGTCTGGACTTGTTTCTGCATCTTCTAATCTGTTCCACTGGTCTTCAGGTCTGTTTCTTTGCCAGTAACATGCTGTTTTTATCACAGTAGCTTTGTAGTACAGTTTCAAGTTGGGGATTGTGATACCCCCTACCGTGTCTTTGTTGCCTAGAATTACTTTTGCTATTCTGGGTCTCTTCTTGTTCCAAATAAATTTTTGGATAGTTTTCTCAAGTTCTGTGAAGTATGCTGTTGGAATTTCAAATGGGATTGCATTGAATCTATATAGCAGTTTTGGAAGTATGGCCATTTTCGCTATATTGGTTCATCCTACCATTTAGCAAGGGATGTCTTTCCATTTTCTGATATCCTCTTTGATCTCTTTTTTTCAGAGTGCTGTAGTTTTCAGAGTAGAGGTCTTTGATTTCTTTTGTTAGGTTGATTCCTAGGTATTTCATTTTTTGGGGTGCTATTGTGAAAAGGGTTGTTTCTCTAGTTCCTCTCTCATTAGTCTGTTGGTTTTTTTTTTTTTGGTACCAGGGATCGAACTCGGGTCCTTGCATTTGCACAGCAGGCGGTGAATAGTCTGTTGTTTTTGTACAGGAAGGCTATTGATTTTTGTGTGTTGACCTTGAATCCAGCCACTGCACTGTATTTGGTTATTAAGTCTAGAAGACTTTTGCTGGAGTTCTTGAGGACCTCTATGTAGAGTATCATGGTATCATGTCATCCATAAATAAGGACAATTTTACTCCTTTGTTTCCTGTCTTTACTCTTTTTCTTTCTCTTGTCTAACTGCTATGGCTAATGTTTCCAGAACTATATTGAACAGGAGTGGTGATAGTGAACATCCTTGTCTTGTTCCTAATTTTAGCATGAAGGATTTCAGTTTTTGACCATTTAGTATGATGTTGGCTATTGGTTTTTCATAGATTGTAGGGAACAGGGAAAGGGAATGTTACTAGAACCTCTGCAGTAAGTCCTAGTCTCTTGTGAGCCATGACAGCACAAGGCAAATTAACTTATTAGACAGAAAAGATAGAAAAAAATGAGACTTAGAGAAGAAGCTGAACTTTGGGCCTGATCATTGCTGCTCTGGGCCACAAAGACAAAAAGCTCTTGACCTTGCCACACCTTTATTCAGTAGATCAGGAGAAACAATTGTAACAGATAACTCTGGGCAGAGTTCAGTATATCAGGAGAATAACAAATGTAAAAAGGGATTCAAAGGGCAGTGGAGGTGAAAATCCCAAAGGACAATGAGGAACTATTCAGATGAAGATTTTTTGCCTCCCCAGGATGTCTTCAGCTAGTGTAATCTTGTCCTGTAGCATCACAGCATCACTGGACCATTGAAGTCTTAGCTGTGACCAGAGGTCAAAACAGAGTTATATCTTGACATGCCATAGCTGGCCTGTAGGCTGGAAG